AAAAAAACATTACCAAGTTGCCATTACTAGAATTGTTTTTTTGGGTATGAACGTTACTAGAAATTTGATAAGAGAGCTTTGATCTTGAGTCTTTATATGTGTGATGGGTATTGTTGTGTTATTCTACACATTAAATGCCTGATTGGGAATACTTTATGCATGAAGTCTGGTTCATCATGGTTATACTTCGGTAAAAAGATAGGTGTTCTGCTCAAAATAGTGTGCGATGGATTAATATTTTGTTTCACATTATGTATTCACGATATTTAAGGATAGAGAGGTGATCTAGCTTGATGGTCATTGCACTGATTACAAAAAACATTTATTGGAAGTTTTATTATGATATGCTGTTTAGTCAAACAATGATCTGTCCAATATTGTTATAAGACACTTTTACATAAAGAAGTATTTTGCTTTTCATTTTTCACAGTTTCTTCTTCTTTGATTACGATTTTGGATCCAAAGTCTGAAGTCAGTCATCACGGTTAGCTAAGCGTACACCATGACGGTTCTACAGGGTGCATAGACCATGAACGAGTAGTCCGTCGTGAGCCATCATGCATTTGGCATAAGTGGTCAAGAGATTGGAACAATCATAATGAATCTAAACTTTGAACTCAAATGGTTTTAATTTACTTACAAATGTGAAATACACTGCTTAGCCTACTGAATCCACCAAACAAAGATCGTCCGAATTCAATACATTCTGAAAACGTGAAAAGTAGAAAGAGATCAAATTCTATCTTTTCACCATTAAAAAAGAGTTAGATGTGTATACCTGTGTATTTCCCACTTCCCAGGCTTGGAGAAACCGATGCGATAATCAAAGTAGTTGTTGGTTTAGTGGAAATTGAAGACGAAGACAATATCACCTCTTTCAAATACGATTACTCTATCTCTTTCGTCTTTTCGTGATATGAATTGGTGCTTCGAAGATTTTCTAATCAAAGTAGTTGCTAGTCCATAAGATTTCAAATTGGAGACTTACACCATTCTTCTGTTCAAGATGTTGCATTGTCTGGTCAATTTTTTTTAGTCTACGGTATCTGAGATAATCTGCATCTTCCTATATATGAATTATAATGAATCAACGAAGCAACATTTACCACAATGTCCCTAACTGGTAACTTCAAAATTGTGGAATTGAGAGGAAAGTTGTGGAAAAAACAAATTATGTTACCAGTTGCACAAGTTGAAAAATTTTGTGGAATGGAAAAATTTGATCACATCCAAAATAAAAAAAAATCAATAAAGAGAGCTTTTGTGCTTGTGGAATGATGTGGAATGACGTAAAGATTCTCATCTTCTTAATATTTTTGTGTTTCTGATATTTTTTTATAGTTAAAATGTAATTTATATTGTAAATATTTTTTCAGCAATTATTATTTTGAGTTTTTTGTAAACCTATTATTTTGAGCTTTTTTACTAAGTCC